TGTATACGTTTTCCTTCTTTACGGAACTCGCGTTGTAGACGCATTATGCTTACTAGTTTTCAGTTATTTCAATTGTTTGAACATAGCATGTGCCAGCCTAAAAATAAATGAACAAATATTATCTAGTATTGAGGCCAAAGCCGCTTCATTATTATGTCGGACCACTGGCCTCCAAAAGCATAAGACAAACGTGTCTAGCACAAAAATTCAATCAGAGGTTCTTATGTTCCTAAAAAAAGTAAAACGCAACTGAATAGTATGTACTAACTCTACCTAGAAAAAAAGCTTACTTACGGTCGTGGACTGAGCCAGTTTCCGTCGAGGCATTTCCCTCAACCACGAAACAATTTATTAATTACCCGGTGTATTGAGCTATTCACCCTCGTATTAGCATAGATATTTTTTTGGACGCATGTCAGCCTCTTGTGATTTAAGAAGATAAAAATTCGTACAACTTGTTTGTTTATTTTCAAATACGCTACATATGCGTTTAGCAATTTGGAAAAATGGAAGCGCTGACGCGGCAGTACATCGAAACTAGAGAATACGTTTCTATCCTACAGAACTAGTCAAAATTCTTATCATCTTATACACAGTACGACAAACAAACTGGTAAGCTGTGCTATCAGTTGGACGTTGCACCAACCAACTCACACTTAGAACTAGCTATGGAAACACTCTATCTGCCATCTTTCGAAGTTCCTCGACGTTCCTAAAACTCAATCGCGCAGGGTCGAAAGAAAGAGAATTTGGTGCAGAAGAAAAAAACTCAGTGAAACTCCTTGCTGCTTTTGATAGATCTATGCAATATAGCTAATAGTGCAGCACTGTGAAAGTTTACTAAAAGGTTACCAACATATAAACGCCTTCTTTCGTAACTATATCTTAGCTTTTAGACGCCTCAGTATATTTTATGTATCAGATCAGCATGTATTTACCAGAGTTAAGTTCTATTCGTGTTGGTTAGATTTTGTTGCTGTCGTCAAACTGACCGCGCGCGTACCTCGCTACCTTTCTTGACGCCTGGGCGCGTATCTCGAGGGTGCGACTTTAACAGTTGTTATTCAAGCGGTTTCGCGGCATTGTGCAAGTAATACTCGTAAACATTCGTTGACCCCTCTCCGTTCGCGCCGATTCCCTCACCTATCGTCTGCGGGTCCAGAAACTAAATAAAAGGTTGGACAGAAAGTTATTACCTTAACAGAAAGTCTAAGAAGGATGGCGCTTTGTCGTCTAGCTTGTCTCGTCCCCCGTGTGTTCGCCGCAGCTGGGCCAAATGGAACAAGGCCTTTGCTGGTATCGCTGGCGGGCAGGCCTATGTCCACAGATTCTGGCAGCTACGAATGTATCCTTTACGAGAAAATCGGCGAGAAAAAAAACGTTGGTCTGATTCGATTGAATCGACCAAAGGCGCTAAACGCGCTGAACTCACAGCTGATGGACGAGTTGGGCGATTGTATTGAAGACGTGAATAATGACGTGTCAGTCGGGTGCATGATCATCACTGGAAATGAGAAGAGTTTCGCTGCGGGAGCCGATATCAAGGAAATGGCGAACAAGACGTTTGCAGATTGCTACAAAAGCCAATTTCTCGAGTCTTGGGGTAAGGTAGCGAAATCACATAAGCCAATTATCGCTGCGGTGAACGGCTACGCGCTCGGTGGAGGCTGTGAGTTGGCAATGATGTGTGACATTATTTACGCCGGCGAAAAAGCGCGTTTCGGACAACCGGAAATTCTCTTAGGCACTATTCCTGGCGCAGGGGGTACCCAACGTTTGACTGCTGCCATCGGCAAGTCACGCTCCATGGAAATGTGTCTCTCGGGCAACCAAATTACAGCCCAAGAAGCTGAGAAATGGGGACTTGTCTCTAGAGTGTTTCCTGTTGATCAGGTAAGAACGACTTGAGTCCTTGTCAATATATGGCAGAGCAAATAGCTACTTTGGTTAGTTGGATTTAAGCAGTTAAAGAATGACAGATTCGTTTATACAAATCATGAACTTAGAAGAGATCAAAGCGTTGGGTTTTTTCAAAATTCAAAATAATCAGTCGAATTACTCTTAGTCGAATTAGAGAGCATCGCACGTATTGGCTGTTCCTGAAGTTTCATTAGATCAGTCTCATTTTCTATTTTGTTTCGCTCATTTAGACATTTACACTGTTGTTTTGCTTCGTAGCTCCTTCCGGAATCGATGAAATTGGCAGAGAAGATTGCCTCAAACTCGCAGATAAGTACGGCTATCTGCAAGGAAACAGTAAACCGATTCTTCGAGATGCCCTTACAAGAAGGATTGACGTTCGAGCGTAGGGCATTCCACTCCACGTTTGCACTTGAGGATCGCCGCGAAGGGATGAAAGCGTTTATTGAAAAACGCCCGGCTAATTTTAAGAACGTGTAATTACGGACATGTTTGTGCAGACGTCAAAGCCAGACATGTAAGCGCTGTTCCTTGGGACCATTTAATCTTGCCAAATAATGAATGAAAGAGGCCTGACGCACTGTTCTATCTCTAATATGAGATAGAAACTGGTAGTAACGACTCGCGGATAAATACATGGAATGGCTTGGCAACTTTTGCTCCATCATCGCTAACGCGCTGAGTATATAAGGTTCTTGTAGTGTTTATTGAGGTTTAAACTACAACGATGTATTTTAATAAAAACTACGATGTATTTTAATAAAAAAAAATGAAGAAAAAAGCTTCAATAGTTCTTACTGCAATTCTTAATATAAATTTCATGAGTTTACATTAATATGCTTAAGATTGCTTGCACGTGTCAAAGTGGCTCTTAGTAACTAGTAGGAAAGCGATGGGGAAGCGATAGGTAGCGATGGGTCAACGGAGTCCGCCTAAGCTGGCGTGGTATATGGAGGCGGGTGACCACAGCGTTAGGTCCTTTGAAGAGCAAAAATGGGATTGTTATTTTTGCATCTATTTCTAAGGCTGTTTTCTCTCTTTCTCATCTACTTCTAAAGCTGTTTTCTCTCTTTCTCTTAAGTAGAACGATGATAATAAATGGCCAATTTCTTTCGTGTTTTTGCCCACTAACAACATATTAAGCTTCCTTATTCTCTCCTATTCCGGTATTCTACAAGTAACTGACTTTCTCATCCCTTAACGCAAGTCTCTCAGTGTCATTGTTGCTTTAGCCATATTGCATTTAGTAGGTTTCCCGAAACCGCTTGCTTGGTCTCTATAAGCTGCAGGTGCCTTATACACCTACGCTCTTGGTTCATGGTCGTTGTCCAACGTACCGATCTCCTCTTTTTCATTGTCTAGTCGCCTGTTCGTAAATGTGTTCTCCATTTCAGTGCACATCGTTCTTCTGCTTTGGCGAACTTGCTGCATGTTTCAAGCAACGGTTACAGGGCCAGAGCCGTCCTTCAGATTAGTTTGAAGACGGCTGGTGCTCAAGCGCTGTACCAGACGGTAGTGCCAGTCTAAGTTGACGGGATTTCTACGCGAGTATCCTCTGCCGGGGCTTGACTTCGACGCCCTCTCCTCACCATCTTCATTCTGCGCTTTCGTTCCTTCTTATCGGACTTCCCGTTACAAAACCTATGGCTGTCTATCAAGGCTCAACTCCGGTTTTATTCCCTACAACAACACCTGAGCCACCTTTGTGTAGTAACTGGTGCTGTTGGGAAATGTAGTGGGAAAGTGGGAATCTGCATCAGCAGCGTCAGCAGTGGTAGCACTGCAAGGCGGACGATCATGAAGATAAATACTCACCTGCAGCCCAGAACATTGTTCTTGTCATTTTAGCTTGTTCCCTTTCTTTCTCTCTTTCTCTTTGTGTTTTCTTCTGCGGGAAGAGTTTCGAAAATTTAAAAACTGCGCAGGAATATGCCCATAAAATGAACACAACAGCATTGGCCCCCTTCACCTCCATAATGATGTGTTACAAGTCGTTGTATTTAGATGCGACCACGTAGCGTAGGATGTTGCTTAAGACCTCACTGGGTAGCTCATCTATGGGCGCTCGTGTTAGAGCGTTTTTTTCTTCATTATTATGGGTCTATAATTGATTACAGAGGGGGCGAATGCCGGGAAAAAACTACCTCAACCTTAATGCTTATCGACAACATTGCTGAACTACCCGAGGATTCGTTTCTAATGAAGCGAGAAGTAGAAGTGTTCGTTGAGTAGGAACTACATGATAGGAATGATAATGATCAAAGTAATAATAATATAAAATTACGATGTAAAATATAGATTAGTGTAAGATGAGCCGTTATTAGGAGAGAATGCCTAACAGCCCTTGTTATTATTTCGTAGCGTATAATTTCTTTTACAATAACGATAACATCGAGGTCTTGACATGCATCTTAATCTGTTGATAAGGACTACAGTGATTAACTTTCACTGGAGATAAAGATGCGTACGAGGAGCGATTGCTGCCTTAAACAATTTAAAACTAGTTTGCTTTTCTTCTACTCTTTCTTATAAACCTATAAATAGAAAGATAAAAGTTATCTTTTTATTTATAGGTTTATAAAAAATAAAAGTTATTTTTTTATCAAAGTAACAATCCGGTTCTACATAGGAACTCGTTAATTGTTCAGGAACATGTAATCACTCTAATTAATAATCTGTATGCGTTTACGGCCTAACCAATTCACGTATTGTGAGTTTGAATTTTGCTCAAGGTATATATGTCTTTTGTTTGATTTTAAACTCACGGAGGATTCACGGATCTAACGAACTTTCCTTTGAGTTCCGGAAATAGAGCTAACGTGTGAAAAAAGAATGTGTTCATATTGCATCACTGCTAGTACTACAACATCATCTTTTTGCCGGACTCGTGCGCAATAATAATCTAATTAAGGCATCTTTATTAAACACAATCTTAGTATCTTTTGGCAGTACTTGCTGTTAGACAAACTAAAAAAACTTCATTGTAGGGCTCTAAATTTTAGGTTCTATGGACAAAAGAAACAGAATACAACTAAATCTAGTTAATAGGACAGGCACATGACATTCCGCTTTTAGCACTGGACGTATGCTGTCCAGTCTCGCCTAGCTTCATGTCCTTTTTAATCTTGGACTGGAAATTTGTATGGTCCTAAGGGACAAGTCACTGAAAAGTGTTTGTAAGCAGGCCTTACTCTAGCTGCGGTCGAATTGTTTTACAACTGCAAAGAGTATTGCGTTCGCGTTGGTACTCTTAAGTCGGTGGAACTGAGTAGAATGTAGACTTTGGCTACGCTAGATGTGTGTTTTGGATGCTGATTTTTGCTCACTGCTCAGGTGGCCTCTATTGATAAGGCTGTGAAATCGAGGATCTGTAGCTAGCAGATACAAAAAAAGTGGACATCAAGTATCTGTACAGATCTGATCTCTGCAGACACCTCAACCAAGCCATTATTAAATCCGAGCAACAAATCGACGAGAGATTTGAGGATTATTGTGTTGTGTTTTATCAGTGTCACTATTGAAATGGTTTCGATAGTTGTGAAGATGGAACCCACAAAGTCAAATTTGAAGTTGGGAGAGTAAAAAACTAGCGTAAAGCTCAAATATTCGATATCAAAATTATATCTATCAGGCGTTGCACACGTAACTAAATGAAAGGACTATTTAAATCTAGAACTGACGAAAAGTCTACATATATGCTTGCTTAAATTATTTTTACTTTTTAGACTATTTTTTTTGTTTAAAATGTTGAATGCAAGGAAAAACTGAGTGGGATGAGGGAAGTGCTTCGAAGATAAATCTTTAACAAATTAAGAGCAAGCTGGAGGGGCTATGTGCTGTTCTGTGGCTAAGTGTGCGCATCTCACGGGTTTCGTCGTAGTGTCGAATGAGATTTCAAGACTAGTATTTGTGAGGTACTCCAAACTGAAGACTCGTCAAAAAACATAAAAAAGTGTTTTGGCGTCGTCGAAGAAATCGATATTTCAGTTGAATTAGAATTGCCTTTGCTCATTAGCAATAACAATAGCAATATACAATTATATATATATATTATAATGCAGAGTTACTTTAAATAAAGAATTACATAGGATAATAATTTCTGTGCACTTACCTCTGAGTGTATGTCAAGTGAATTTACTTACGTTACGTTTGTGCTAACGGGTTCACTATGCGGTGCGTCTTAAAGTTATCCCTAAATAGTTCCTCGTTAAAGAACACCCAAAGATCCCTATGAAGTCTCCATCACTTAGGTGATTTCGTATACACTGAACATTACCCTAATCTGAGCGCAGCTCCTCTAAGCGGCTCAACGGCTTCCTCGTCCTGCTAATGAAGGCCTTCGTGTCTAATCAACATCTTAAAATTGTTATAGCTTGCCGTGCTTCACTTGGGTCAAATTTGCATCTTCTTATGATGGGCTCTTGCTTTGTGGCTGATATTTGTCAACAGTTTGTTTGTCAATTAGTGTTTGATTTATTAATTAATGTTTCACAGCTTGATGGTGAGCCTTTAAAGCTTGCATAAGGTGTGGTTGTCGTAAAGGAGAGTAAACAGTACCACCGAAGGGGTGGTTTCCACTCAAGCGTTTTGTATAATGGCCACTTTGTTAGTATGAAACAGCTTTGCCGTTTCCTATATTAGCAATGTTATGGGATAGAGCAAATGATAATTATTAAAAATGAAGAGAATGAAACCTGCCCTGCATTGAAGCCAGATCATTTCTGTGTCTCTTCAATTAGTAAGCAAACACGTGCGAAACCTAGCGTCGCGTATTTTTTCAGCCTTTTTTGCTTATACTAATATCGTAAACATGTGACCATAATTAACAATCTTCTATTGCAGCGATCGTAATAGAATACAGTGAGGGCTTAGACGAAAAAAATTTCGAGCGTAAGATTTACCAGCAAGGAGTACTCTTTAACCGCAAGTAAAATATTTCGATCTTCAGCAAACGCGTTGATGTTAATTTCAACACTGATTCTGCATATACTGATATACATTTCATTTAATTAATAAGCGTGTATCAATATTTAGTATACTATTAGGACCATAAAGCGTTTGTTTGCAATTATTATTACGTTAGTTTCAATACCACTTGCTGGATGATTTCGACAAGATGAAGGTACACATGTCTCTCAGGTTTCTCATATAGCCCCTACGGGAACAAGCGAATTTGCATCCCTGCTACGTATTAGTCTACTGTCGCGTTTCGTGTGTCAGTTTTGCTCAAACACAATGTTATTCTTGTATACGACTGCTGGATTGGCACCACTATGCAGTATACTGCGGTTCTACCTCAGTGGCGGCTTTGATGGCATTGTGCTTCGTTCTATTTGTCACGAAGATGAAGAACGCCGACTTCAGTTGTCATCATTTTTTTTGTACGTTCTTGTTCTCTCCCATTGCGCTCTTACTCTCTCATATCCCAGTTGCGCTATCTCTTCAACGATTTCTGTTAGTTCAAATCTCTCGTCGATGAAGCTTCTGATGTCACAGCGGCCGCTGATGGAAGGCATCACATTAAATCTGCCTAGATTTCAGACATCCTGTCTGATACTTTCTATATGCACGTCCTCAACTATAATCTATCGCCCGAAGTCGAATTCAAATGGAGCAAACCAATTTTCATAAGTTTAAACGATATGCGTAGCTTTGCTGGCGCGCATAAATATATGTTTCGTAATTAAAACATTATGGAGAGAAAGGGATTCGAATATGTCCTAGAATGCAAACAAATGTAACTAACATGGTTCATAGGGCATGCGGGAATT